AATTCCTATTAAAAATATAATTACTTTCTGACAGGCAGTTTATCACAGTTATCCTGATACAGTGAGTATTTAAACTCTACTCAAAAATTGTGCAGCAGGTTTAAAAGTTGTTATACTGGAAAAATTAGGAAAGGCAGAATTAACTTGAGAAAAAAAAAATCTTCAAGAAAATAATGTTTAGTAGAGGGCAGTTAATATTGGATGGATACAAGAAGTATTACCACTATACTGTGGCACCTCCAGTCAATTAATAGAAAACAAAAAGGCTATCACTAAACACTAGGATACCACACATAAAGGGGAAAAAATGATTAAGTCCAAGGAGTGAGAAGGATGGGGAGCTAAGAGGAGAAAAAAGCAAGGTATCTTGCTTAGAAACTCTTATCTAGCAGAATGGTTCCTAATAGCTATAGAGGGAAGAAAAAAAAAATTGGTTCCAGACTTTTGTATGAATTCGCCACAGTCCCCCAACTATCAAACCACACGAGCTCTCAACAAAAGAGAAAAAATTCCATAAAAAAATCACTTAACTAACTCTGCCTATAGAGGATATAATCATTAGTTTTTTTTTTTTTAAGAAAACAATCTTCAAAATAAGTCTTGAATTTCAAATGCTCTAAGCTAAAAGTTATCTTTAACCTTATAAGGGGAATTTCCTGGTGGTCCAGCGCCTTTACTTGTCATGGGCCTGGGGTTCAATCCCTGGTCAGGAAACTAAGATCCCACAAGTTGTGTGTGTGTGTGGGGGGGGAGTGGGAGTGCATGCAGAGACATTTTAGGCAAAATTCCACAAATCTCTGACATCTAAAGTATGTTATGACATGATGAGGCTTCAGTCAATATTAATTCTGGAAAAGAGCAAAGCAGTAGGTAAAGATACCAGTGAGCAGAGAAAGTTTAAAAATATTGAAAATAATGGTTCTCTAGTTATAAACCACCTCAATTTTTAAAACTGTAAGCTTATACGATTTATAAAATATTTATGAAATCAGAGCAAAAAATGTCATTGAACAACTGTTCACTGTATTAATTACATTCTGCTCTATTTAAAAAATACAGGCCAATACTTAGCTTTTTAATCTCATTTTAAGAAGCTACAATACAATAGAACATTGGATCCAAATTAACTAGATACCATAACACACTGTATTTAATTGTAAAAAAATAACCATGGGTTTAAAAAAAAAACAACGTTCTATTGTTTTGTTTTTTAACAATTTCACTGCAATGTTTGTATTACTTAAATATTTTTAAACATTAGTAGCTCACAGATTACGCTCCTTAGCCTGACAACCAGATATGGAACCATATAAGGTTTGATAATAGGCTCCACTTCCACCAGTTTCAGGCACAAGGTTTTAGGAGACGCATTGATTAAATCTGGCTATTTTAATTTATTTATACTTTACCATATTCAAAAAAGATTTGAGAGGATACAGACACATGTTCAGGAAATATATTCTTCAATAAAATACAGAATGCTTAGCATAAACTTTTAACCAAAATATCACTGCCAATATTCTTTAGCCGTGCTTGTCAAAATGCTAAGAATATCAATATGTTGAGATTATCAAACCTGCAAATTTACTAAATACACTAGAAAGAGGAGAGGACAAACCCTTAGTGCTCTGCTTGAAAACAACTCAAACTGGGAAGCATCTTCACTTCAGTAAGAAAGGAATCAAATCAAACAGTAAATAATAATGACAGCGGGATGAGATGAAAGTAACTTAATTTTTTAAAGGCAGCATATAATTTATACATAAATTAAGCTGTTGATTATTTACTTCATGTTCTTTTACCTATTTCAGAAAAATATTCTGAAGATTCCTACTAATCTGTTATAAACTAATTGCATTTTCTTTGCTGTATTTTCATTTAACTCTTCTGGATCCTGTTACTGTCAATATAAAAGGTAACTTTGTGGAACATTAAAAAAGAAATACAAAGACTACCGTATCTTAACTAAAGTTTGTGCTATTCTCAAAAACTGAAAGTATTTTAAACAAAAAGGTATTTAAAAATTTTTTTCAGTTTATTATTAAATACAAAATAACTTAAAATAATTCTGGAGTTGTCACAGTCTAAGAGTATAAACACTCTCAGATGGTTACTTGAAGTATTAAGCTACTTCACTAGTGTTAAATAAGTGTGACTTTTAGGTGGCGCAGTGGTAAAGAATTCGCCTGTCGATGCAGGAGACGCAAGAGACACAGGTTTGATCCCTGGGTCAGGAAGTTCCCCTGTTCCCAGTAGGAACTGGCAACCCACTCCAGTATTCTTGTCTGGAAAGTTCCATGGACAGAGCAGCCTGGTGGGCTACAGGATACAACTGTCACAAACAGTCGGACAGGACTGAGCATGCACAAACACACACACACATCATACAGGGCAGGTGTTCCATCATAGTCCTATGTGAAAAGAAGGCAACTTTCTTCAAATTGGGCTGTGAATTTAACAATTCTAATTTAAATACAAGATTACTTAGAGTCTGGAGGGAAAAAGGTTCTAAAGTTCAAGTAAAAATGTATAAAAAGTAAAAAAATTTACAAAAGAATAAGGAGGGGCCAGCCTCACCAAGTAACACTGTAATAAAGGTAATAATACTTCACTAAAACAGTGGATATTGGTACACTTTATAAGGGGTAAAGTGTTAAAAAAAGAAAACTCAAAGTACTAAACGAGATATTATATAATAATTAGGGGAAATGGAAAAGATAAAAAATTTTACCAGTTGGGGCGGGGTGAAAGACAAGACTACCTAAAACACACAGGCACACACACTTTTCTACATGTGAAATACATGTACAAAGCTGAAAGACAAAAAACAAGTTGGGAGAAAACTGCAGCATATCACAGAACAATCTTCCTATGAAAAAGATTAGCACAGCAATAGATTGCACAAGCAAAAGATTTATGAGTATGAAATTTACAACTAGCTGTAACTGGCATTAAATATATGAAAAACATCCGATGAAACCAGTAATTAAAGGAATGAAAATAAAAACAGAGAACAGTAAAAACCCTAATACTTAGTAAGGGGAAATGGGGACCATCATACAATGTTACCAGGACTAGGAACAGATACAATTCTGTAGGGTAATATGTATCCAAGTTTAAAGTGTGCACCACTTCTGGTCCAGTAATTCCTCTTTCAAAATGTAAACTAAGGAGATCATCTCTCAAAGATGGAAGCCATTCATCACAGTGCTGTTTGTAATCGTTAACAAACTGAAAATAGCCTAAATGCCTACCAATAATAATAATGAACACATATTAGTGCCTCATAAACAAAAATGTCATGCATCTATTAAAAATGATGGAGAGATCATACATTTATTGACATGAAAAAATTACTCATGACATTTTACATGGAAGCTCCATGAGAGCAGGGGCCTTGGGTATACTGTTCTTCAATCTTATTTCCAGCACCTAGAACAGTGCCTTGTACAAAACAGCTTCCTAGGAAGTATTTATTAAATAGATTAATTTTAAAGCTGGTTACAGAACAATCATGGTATGGCCCCTTCCTCATTCCTTCCTGACCTCCCTTCCTTTCCCTCCCCCTACAGAAATATAATTGGAAGGATAGTACAAAAGGTTGACAGGCAATAGAGTTTTGGTGCCTGTGTTTAACTTTCTTCTTTCTTCTTCTCTGTAGTCTAAATTCCCTATACAGTAAGCCTGTTTTATTTCTATGATCAGATAAAGTAACAAAATTGCCTTTAAAGAACTCATATATTTAAGATGAACTCCAGAATGTTCACTGCCTATAGCTCACAAACTCCAAACCCTAAAATCAGCAGTATCCAAGAAGCATTTTTCCTTCATCTTCAAAGAAATACCAGTATGCCTTTACAATGTATTAGTAGCATCTTTCTCCACTACCAGGAAATGCCACACTATACTAATAAAATGCAGCATTTCTAAAAGGAAGAAGTACACTTTTTCTGCAGTGAAAAGGGAAAGAAAAACTGTAAGTAATTAATTTCTTAAAGTCCTACCCTCTCCTCTACTAACATATACCCTATTCTAAATTGTGGTAATGATCACTATGCACAATCCTTTTTTTTTTCCCCCAGCTAAAAGTCTAGTGCATCCAAGAGTAATGGACTGTGTCAATTCTTTCATTTCCTTACAAAGACTTTTTCCATTTTAAAGACATTCAAACAATTGAAATATCAAAAGTAGCTACACACCCTATGTCATATTCATCCCATTACCCGATTTTATTTCATAGTGTTTATCACTATCTGAAATAACCTTATTCGGATTTTAATTTTGTCTCTCCTTTCTGGAATGTAAGCTCTATGAGGACAGGAATTCTGTCGTGCTTGCTACTGTCTTCAGTGAATGGTATCTAATGAAAAGGTATGTGCGTAGGGGCGGGGGACCCAAGCTAAACAAGAAAAANGGGTGGGAACCACACTGAAATGTACAAGCTGTCATGACTTAAGGTTACAACACCAGTTCAGAGGTTTGGTGGACGTTTTCCAAGATGGACAGGTGCTTCACACCTATCTAAGGGCAGAGCGCTCATCCAGGAAGGAGAAAATCCACAGGGAGGTCTCCAGGTGGCTGCCGTGCAGCTCCCAGAAGAGTGGAAACGATCATCATCATAATAGAAATGTGGCCCGGGTCGAGAGAGAAAAAAAAAAATACACCATACATCTTGGCCCAGATGAAAAACCACACGGATCCGTACCACAATCAAACCAAGCAAGCAACCTTCCGCTCTACACGTAAAAAGAGTACAGTCTTTCTCCTGGCTGTGAAGTCGCCTGCAGCCCAGCCACCCCCCTCAGTAGCCACTTCTCTCTTCCAATGAAACCCCCGGCCCAGCTGATCCAAGGCTAGAGAGACCGGGAAGAAGAGTCTGAAAATTGGCTGTCTCCACCCCCATCCGAGCCCAATCTCCTCCAAAGCGAAATTCCTCCTACCCTCGCCTGTCCCCGAGGCCTGGACCCCGCCACGGGCTCCTCCAGCTGCCCCTCACTCACGTGTAGATGATGGCCATGAAATGCATCAGCCACAACACCAAGAAGAGGACGAACCCGAAGACGGCCATTCCCTCCAGGGCCAGGTCCAGCAGCGCCATCCCCCGGCCCGGCCCGCTCCGGCCGCCGCAGCGGACAGCGCTCCCGCAGGAGGAGGACTGGGTGGGCGCCCGGCGCGGGGGCGCAGAAGGGGAGAGAAAGGTGGGGAGAGGAAGGGGCGGAGAGCCTCCGTTGCCGCCCCGCCGCCTTCTCGCAGCCCCGGCGCCGGGCCCCGGGCAGCGTAGCTCCGCGCCCTGCTCTGCCGCCGCAGCTCCGCGCACTAATCGAAACCGCCGGCAGGCGCCCCGACTCCCCGGCGCACCCCGCCCCGCCCCGGCCCTCCGAAACCGCGGTCCCGCCTTCCGAGGGGCGGTGCGCGCTGCTCCTCTCCGCCCACCCTGCCGCCCTCGCGCTGGTGGCGTCACTGTCGTGAGCGCGCCCCTGGGAGGGTTCTTCTGGGTGTTCCTCTCGAGGCTCCGGCCGCCGCCCACCTCTTGGTGACCGGAGAATGCGACCCGGGCAGCCAGCTCTGCACCCCTGAGCCCGCCTCTGTCGGCGGAACGCGACCCTGTGTCCAGCTCGGAGGACACTTTCCCTTTGTCCTGCTCTGGTGTTCCAGGGCGTCCAAGGAAAAGACCCGGGGTTCCAGGCAGCCCCGAGTTGTCTCGCAGTGCAACTTGCAACGCTGTGTCCTCAGCCTTTGCGCCGGGCATTGCCCGGAGCAGCCCAGACCTTCCTCCAAGGCATGTTCCCGGGCGTCCGGGTGTCCCATTGCCTTCTTCCCTTGATACTTTCAATGCTGTCGAGCCTTGGATCACAACGTACCGAGAGTGAAATCTTCTGCTTCACAGATCTCTAAGCACCTTAGAAGCAGCATGTAACGTACAAGAAATTCTCAAACTCAGGATGTAAAGGATCAGCTGATTCTGAAGTCCTCTAAGACTCCTGCCCAATATGATAGCCATAGGCGACTACTGAGCGCTTCAAATATGGATAGTAGGAACTGAGGGAGTTGTGTTACGAATGTAAGTCATGCACCTGGTATGAAGATGCCTCATTAATTTTATATTGATTACAAATTTTAAGAATGTTTTTGATACATTGAGTTAAATTATTAAAATTAATTCAGTCTTTACTGTTGTTTTTTAAATTCTGCTAGCTACTAGAAGATTTTAAGTTACACAGGAGGATAGCACTCTAAAATGGAAAGATGGAAAGATGTGGCATTTGGCTAGTAAGGTAACCTAGTGTTTAAATTTTAATTAATTTAAATTTTAAATCAGTTCAAGGAGATGTTTTAATCTAGTACTAAACGTTTCTGTTTGTTTCTTTAGCCTAGATGAGTTTATATAGTTTCTTCATTGTTTTATGTTTAAACAGTGTTTATTATTTCAAATGATTTCCTTTTACATAATCTATGACTTCCTTGAGAGATTTCAGAATAGAATTCAATTTTGGAAAGAAGCTGGTTATCATTGTTATTTATATAGTTAATATTGATTGAATTAACTACCTCAATCTACAATTAAATGATAAACTACAATCAGAAAGGGGCTTCCCAGGTGGCTCAGTTATAAAGAATCCACCTGCATGCAGAACATGGGGGTTACCCTGCATCGGAAAGATCCCCTGAAGAAGGAAATGGCAACCTACTCCAATATTCTTACCTGGAAAACCTCATGGACAGAGGAGTCTGGCAGGCTACAGTCCATGGGATAGAAAAGACTTGTATACGACATAGCGACTTGAGTGTATGCACACACTCAGAAAAGAGTTTAAAATAATGTCTGTGTTGAGAACCAATCCTGGATTTGCTGTATCCTTTGTTTTACCTGGGTAAAGTCAGTAAGAAAGAACAAGGCTTAGAAACCAGACTTCATTGCTGAGAGTTACTGGTTGATAAAATTATAGCCCAGTAGTGTACTAGCATGGAAATAACACTGCAAGCGAAAATTTGAAAATGTCACTATTTTAGTTAATCAATTCTGACTTAAGAAGAAACATTTGAATACATTTTAACATTTCTGAAATGGAAATGGATCTCACAGTCAATGACATCTTACAATTAATTGGTGTTTTTTTCCTTAGTTGTATGTAAAATAATGCTGCATCTTACCACTGACGTACTCTTCAGATATGATGAACTACATCAATTGGTCAGTTTAAGCATTTTGTTTTATTCTGCATTTATCCAAATTGTTTTTAGAACCTTACAACAAAGGCTTTTTTACAATATAATCAATGACATGGAAAATGAAGCTAAAGAAAAGTGAAAGAATCAAATATTCTTAAGAGTTAACAGAACTCCTCTAATTGGGTATAACCAGTAGATAGAAGATTTGCTGTGTTATACTTTAGCCTATTTAAACTTAGTCTGTCCAAGCCTGGTTGATGATTTTAAAGGAGTAGTATTAGAATGTGTAATCCTAAGGTTATATAGGCCTGCTTCCCAGGTGGTGCTGGTGGTAAAGAACCCACCTGTCAATGCGGGAGACATGAGACCAGGGTTCAATCCCTGAATGGGGAAGACCCCTTGGAGAAGGGCATGGCAACCCACTCCAGTATTCTTGCCTTGAGAATTCCAGGGACAGAGGAGCCTGGCTGGCTACAGTCAATGGGGTCACAAAGAGTTGGACACAACTGAGTGACACTTTTATTTCACTTTCAACATTCTTTAGATATGGTAAAAGTATAAACTTCTTCCATGTAGCATAGCAGCATAGAAGTTTAGTAAAAACCTTGTCCGCTGATCTTACTTTTGGTAGTTTGCATTGTTTTGGTTGCTTGTCTAAAGGGCTCTCCTGTCTCTTTGAACACCAATTCTACCAAGTTCAGGGCCTCTGATTTTTTTCAGTGGCAATTTAGTAGCATTAGTGATTTAAATACGTACATTTTTAAGGAGCAGTGTTTTTAGCAAATTTAATGTCATTTAATGGCCATGGATAGTTTAGTTTTAAAACCTTAACAAGAAAAGGATTTATTATTTTTTTTTTTTTTTTCAAGAAAAGGATTTAAAATGTCTGGTTCAACCATGTAGTTGGAATACATTTTTGGTTTGAACCAAATCCAGACCAAAATAACTGTAGCTGATTCCAAATGAAATGAAATTATATTGGTTCTAGTTCTATGTCCCAGAGAAGACAAGAACAGAGGCTGGGAGAACATAGGTACTTAAGTTAACTTATAGCAATGAAACAAACTTTGGCAAGTTGATTGTTACACTGTGCCCCAAATGCCTATATTTAAAAGTGCATTTGTAAGTCCATGGCTAATTCATTTCAATGTATGACAAAAACCACTGCAATGATGTAAAGTAATTAGCCTCCAACTAATAAAAATAAATGGAAAAAAAAAAGTACATTTAGATTTTTAAAAGTGTAACATTTTTAATAATCAGGGTTCTTAGTTTGGATTGTGTCTAAGAAAAATCATATTTAGTGAAATTTCTAAAAAAAATCATGTTTAAAATGTGACACAAAAGCTATGCATACAGAAAAAAGACTAAAAGATAGTGCATCAGACAATCAGTTATAACTACTTGTCTTTGAGAAATGAAATATGTTGACTTTTTAAAATCTACCTTTTTATATTGTTGACTTACTATATTGAGCATTATTATTTCCACAGAGAAAAACAACCATTTTCTATTTTATAAATGAACTAACCAATGATGAAAAAAATCACATAAAAAGTTGAAAAATTTTAAGATAAAAATTATGAGTTGTACAATCACTTTGGAAGATAGTTTGACATTTACTTACAAAACTAAACCTAATCTTAACCATACAATCCAGCAATCACATTCCTTGTTGTTTAGTCAAATGAACTGAAAACATACTCATACAAAAACCTGCACACAGATGTTCATAGCAGCTTTATTCCTAATTGCCAAAACTTCTCAGGTAAAGAACCCACCTGCCAGTGCATGAGACATAAGAGATGTGGGTTCGATCCCTGAGTTGGGAAAATCCCCTGGAGGAGAGCATGCATGGCAACCCACTCCAGTATTCTTGCCCAGAGAATTCCATTGACAGAGGAGCCTGGTGGGCTAAGTCCATAGGGTTGCAAGCATGCACACCAAAAGTTGGAAGTAACCAAGATGTCCATCTGTAGATGAATGGATAAATCTATTGTCCAGTCCATCCATACAGTGGAATATTTTTAAGTGCTAATAAGAAATTAATTATCAAGTCATGAAAAGACATGGAGAAATTTAAATGCATTTTACTAAGTATAATAAAATAAGCCAGTCTGAAAAGACTACATCCTGTAGGATTACAACTATGTAACATTCTGGAAAAAGCAAAATTATGGAGACAGTAAAAATGTCAGTGATTGCCAGAAGGGAGTGAGTCGGGGGGAGGGGAGGTGAGTCGGGGGGGGGTTCCCCCTTCCTGCAACAGAGGCAGGTTACAGAGGATTTTTATGGCAGTAAAATTATTCTGTATAATAGCTCCTGTATAATGGTAGATATATGTATTACACATTTGTCAAAAAACCATAGAATGTAAAACACCAAGAGTGAACCCTAATGTAAACTATGGACTTTGGGTGACTGTGATGTGTCAATATAGGTTCATCATCTACAACAAATATACCAGTCTGGGGCAAGGTGTTGACAGTGGGAAACTGTGCACGTGTTGGGAGGGAAGTATAAGGGAACTCTATATTCTGCTCAGTTTTACTGTATACCTAAAACTGTTTTAAAAAATAAAGTCTATTTAAAAAAAAAATTAGTGCTAGACACACACACACACAAAAGTATTGGAAACATTCCAAGTGTCTGAATTCATGAAATAAACTAGTTTGTCATCACATCCCAGGGCTTCCCATCTTCTAGGCAGTCAAATATTTGTTGAACAAGTGAATTAGTTTATTTAAATGGATCTGCATTGAGAGAAATCACTAGAAACATTGCTCAACTTTCTCCTTTGTTTGCAAATGCTTTAAACATGTTTTTTTTTTTTTCTTTGTGGAAAAGAAATACACATTAACTACCCATGCCCTTCCTTCAGATTACAAAGTTAGACCACAGAGTTAGGGTGAAAGTAACTATGTATTAGTTCACCTAATCACAAT